AAACACAACTTGATGTAAAATATTAATTTAATTAAAACACAACATTACTTAATGGATTAGATATACAAATAATTAATAATAAATACACAGAAAAAAAATATAAAATGCAAAAAAAAAATGAAAATAGTAAAAAAGAAAAAAAAATTAAGTGTAAGAAAGAAATTTTAACTTAATTCATTCTCGTGACGCACGCATGTATCTAAATATTTTAACATTTCCTGTAAAAAGTGTAAAACAAATCCACAGTCCGTTCCTGAATATTATTAACAGCATCTTAGGCTAATCCATAACTTATTTGTGTGTGTGTGTTCGTGTGATTATAAATATCTATTTAGATAAGAAAGAAGGAAAAAAATGAGATGTAGTCTAATCAATCTCTCAGAAACAAGAACTAAGATACAAGTGAAACTTTACTGAGTTGCCTTTTTCAATTCTCTACACAAGACGATTGAAAGATTCTTCAGTTCTTTTCTTCTTTCTTCTTAAAAGAGAAGAAAGACGAGAAAAAAAATCTAATTCTAAACAATTTAAAAGACGGCGAACAATTAATATAATGATTGAAGTTTTTATTCAATAAATTTTGAAGATTTTTCTCTTTCATATTAAATAATTTCTGTTTGCTTTCTAGTTTGCCTTAAATTAAGTCTTGCATCTACAAATTATTTATAATGATGTACATAAATACATAATAGATTTATCAGGCAGAAAAATAAAATAAATAACTAAAGAATTTAATGCGATGTGTAATAATGGAATAAAAACAAAATAAAGTTATACCTAATAAAAGAAAAACACTCGAAAGTGGTGAAAAGTTAATTTATCTTTGTTAATTATTCGTCATGTTTCAGATGAACTCCTGAGGAAAAGTTAAGAATCTGAAAGATACTTTTTGGTCTTTTGATTGTAAATATTTTGGGATTTTTTACTCTTGTCAATTTGTTGTAAAATTATTCATTGTAATGTAGCCTAAACTTAATGGTATCTACTCAAGAAAACAATTTTGATGTTTTTTTCTTTTATTTTCTTCTCACCTTTTATAAATAAAATGAATAAAATTTTCTCAACAGAAACTTTTTGTTGGAATTTTCTAAAATTTTCGATTGAATGTCACAAAACGTCAAAGTTTAATTTTGATGCATTCAAGCTTTTATGTTGTTATTCATTTTTGAACAGGAATTTTGTTTTAATCAAAATATTTTATCCAATAAGATTCTATAATCTGAACAAGCAAGACATTTCATATAGCATTCATGTCAATAAACTTCGAGATTGGCTTGTAAGTTGTGGAATATTTTTTAAAAAATTTGAATTCGCTTTTTTATATTGTTTTGTTGTAGCGAATTCAAATATCCTTTTTGCTACGTCACTTGCATTGGAACCCACATTGAAGAATCATTCAATCAAATTCGCTGAACAAATTGAAGTTTATGCGATATACAAATATCTAGAAAGAGCAAAAATTATAGATGTTTACTCAAGGTTTTGTTTCTTTTCAGAACTACCTGTAGGTAGGATGAAAATCCAACTTGTCTCATCTGAAATTCATTTTTGTGCGTTCGCGCGGATTTGACCTTCCATACAAAATGCACAGATTTCTCCGTGTTCACAAATTTCTCCGTGTACACATTTCGATCGTAGCGCCGCCACTGAAACGTTCTCGGACAAAAGATCAATCAAAACTTTTTAAAGTTTCTCCGTGGATGATAATTCTCCGTGGGTGATTACACTCTCCACCTGAAACTAGACTTTGCCCGACCGGAGGCTGAAATCCCTGGTGAAGAGTGTAATCACCCACGGAGAATTATCTCGAGGCAAATTCAAGAATTTGACTCATTTCAATCACGATCGAGTAAGGTGTAAGATCAAAAAAAATTGTCGTCGTAAAATGAAAGTGGTTTCAAGTCGTTCGAAGTCGCTTAAAGTTGCTGAATTGAATTCTAGTCTTTCAGTTAATTCGAGTAAGTATTAATTCAAGTTTATTAGTTATCGAGTAATTAGTTTTTTCGTGAATTTAGATTGAATGATTGTATGTCCAAAGTGTGCTTTGGATTAACCTCTACGACAGGTTTACTGGAATGAATTTATCATGTCTAAGGTAATTTAATATCAAATTACAATTTAAATGTTCGCTTACGTTTATAATGAATGCTTTCACAGATCAAAAGTAGAATTCAGAGCTCAGTTTTCATAATTGTTATTATGAAGTTGAATCATTAGAATTCGACCATTTTGTCGGCATATGAGAAAGTCGTCGTGATCATCGTAAATGGAAAGTTGAATCTTATTGTAAGTTATTGTTCTTCATTCTTTGTATAATTTATAACTTTTCATAAAAACATTTCACAGAAATAAAATCCAACCAAAGTTGTTGATTGAAAAGTGAAAAATTCATTCTCAGAATTGATGTCAATGAACACCTCATCATCAAACATGTGTTTTGGAGATTCAAGATGATGTTAACCTCAACATGATGACATCAGAATATTGGCCATTTTTTAAATAAAGGTATAATAATTTATAATTTCAATTCTATATTTTATATAATTACAAATGAATTTTCAGGTCAAAAAATGTGTATTAATCACTTTTGAGATTGATGTGCATCTCACTAAACGTTCTCGAGAAATCGAATTATTTTTGATTTCTTATATTGACAGTTCCAGTTAAAATTCATTTATATGATTCTATGCTTAGGATTATTTCCTCTTTCGAATTCTACGTATGGTTCACGTGGCTGACGTGACTGGCGTGTCTGACGTGGTTCATGTTCCGGATGGAAAATCGATTTATGGGAATGAAGTCTCACATTTTTCCTACTTCAGGGTTTCGCCTGTTATACTGATGAACAACATGCGTGACTTCTATGACAATTGAATTAAAAAATTTGAATTTCTTCTATTAACAAAGCCATCATCCAAAATTGTTTACCGCTGGCACCAAATGTCATTAACTTGTTGCACCTCCTTATATGATGATGATGACTTTTTAATACTTTAAAATTACATTATTAATACGTATTTCGACAGCCAAAACTGTCATCATCAGAATTGTGCGATTCATACTGAAGAATTTCTTCTAGTATACGTCAGTGTTATTGTAATAGATAAGAGATTTGATCTTATTATGGGCTTGTCAATTGTGTTAAACTTTATTTAACATGAATATCAATAAAATAATTTTATGTATCATTAAAATATTTGTTGTAATTTAGCAAATCTCTCTCACTTTAGCTCATGAAAATTACACTACTGGTTGGATATTTTAATTATATTTTATTTGATTGTGTAAGAGAAATTGTTGAACGTTTTGGAATTCTATACAGGCCGAAGTATGTTAGAATTATGCTTCAGCATAATTTTGAGCTTTGCCAATTTGGAGCTGCAACATCTGCAATTTTAATTTCATTTTAGATTATTTAATAATTGTATTATTTAGTTATTTATTTTATAAATATGTACTTATATCTTACTTATATCTACTTTACCTTTGTTTAATTTATAGACAATAATCAAAATATACTCAAATATAAAAAAATAACGGCCAACAATATTTCAAACAGAATCTTGGATAAAGTTCTGATAAAAGCTCACTTTGTAGTTTGGCGCCGAATCATTATTGAATAAGAATCAAAACAATAATTTGCTAAAATCGCGTAAATCTCAAAATAAAGTTAATAAAATGTCCAAAGTAAATTTAAAGTCAATATAACTATTAATGATATTGTAATGAAGTCGTTTTTCATTTCAGGATATTCGCTCATTCTTCAAAATTGCTGATAAATCATCAAAAATTACTTTCGATTCGAAACAAAAAAGAAAAGCCGAAAAAATCGATTCAAGTGACGATGAAAAGAGAACAGCAGGATCAGTAAAGTCAAAGGATTCAAAAAAGAAACGAAGGATCATTGATTCTGACGATGATGAGCTTGCCACCAAAGTAAATTCATCGCTACCAGCAAAAAAGGATAAAAAGTCTTCAACAAAGAATGGAAACAAGTTGATTGAAGTAGATGTGTTCAGTATGTTTGGAAGTGAACCAGTGAAAAGAAAAGAACGACCAAAAGCTGAAACAGTTTCACAAAATACTTCTGTAGTCGCCGTTGATGTCGATGATGATGAAGCTGACCTTGAATTGAATGCTTCATTAATTGCTGCTGAAATTGAGAGGAAAGAATCTACTAAAAAGTCCCCCAATAAAGAAACAAAAAAGACTCCTTCAAAGACTAAGAGAGAAAGTGTTGAGCATAATGAAATTAATTTAGTTTCTCCATCTCCTAAGAAACCAAAATTGTCTTCTCTGTTATCCAAAGAAGATAAAGTAGCATCGTCGTCTCACGAGGTTCCTGAGAAGACTAAAATATCATCGCCATCACCAAAAAAAATTAAAGAAACTCCACCAATTAAGAAAAAAACGTCAGCCAAAAAAGAGAAGAAAAGTAAAGAAACAACCTTCGAAGATGATGAAGCTCGTCATGAACGTAAACAACTAACAGCAATTTTATATCAGAAGTTTATGAATCGTACAAGTGTCATCAATCATGGATGTAAGGAAATTCCTGATGGAAAAACCGATTGCCTCAAAGGACATCAATTTGTCATTACTGGAATTTTAGAATCGATGGAAAGAGACGAAGCAGTTGATCTGATTAAGAAATGTGGGGGAATTGTTGTGTCTGGTTTATCTAAGAAAGTTACTCACATAATAGTCGGTGAAGAAGCTGGTCCTGCAAAGATTGCCAAGGCCAAAGACATGGGAATCAAGGAAATGACTGAAGATGATCTTTTAAGCTTAATTCGCAAGAAATCCGGACTTCCAGATGTCTCTACAAAGCAAGAAAATATTCAGAAGGATTCACCAGGGAAAGAAAATCGTGAAATAAAATTAGAAAAAGAAGATGTGAAGCCAATTGCATCAACTCAGGTGAAGCAACAGCCACAGGCAGTTCAACCCAACAAAATAGCATCAAAGAATTTGGATGATTTCTCATTCGTAGATAAATACAAACCAACATCAGTGACGCAGATTATTGGTCAACAGGGTTCGAGTGGAAACGCACAAAAACTCATTAATTGGCTTACTAAATGGCATTCAAATAATGATGGGAAGAAGAAACATGTGAAGCCAAGTCCATGGGCAAGAGATAATGATGGAAGTGCTTTTAAAGCTGCTCTGCTTTCGGGCCCTCCAGGTGTTGGTAAAACAACAACAGCACATATTGTCGCGAGAGAATTGATGTTTGATATCGTCGAATTTAATGCTTCAGATACTCGAAGTAAGAAATTACTCAAGGAAGAAGTTTCGTCACTTTTGTCCAACAAATCACTTGCTGGTTATTTGAATGGAAGTGACTCGAAAGTCTCAAGTCGTCATGTATTGATTATGGATGAAGTTGATGGAATGGCAGGAAATGAAGATCGCGGTGGCATCGCTGAACTTATCAGTTTGATCAAGGAATCTCACATTCCAATTATTTGCATGTGTAATGATCGAAATCATTCAAAAATTCGATCACTTGCTAATCATTGCTTTGATTTACGCTTCAATAAGCCATCAGTTAATCAGATTCGAAGCGCAATGATGAGCATTTGTTTCAAAGAAAACATTAAATTGGAAGCTGGAGCAATTGATTCAATCATAAGTGGAACTGGAAATGATATTCGTCAAACATTGAATCATCTTGCTTTATATAGCGCTTCAAAAGGTGCAACGATTGGAGCAGGAGATGCAAAGAAAAATGCTGAAATGTCTGAGAAGGATATCAAAATGGTAAATATTTGTTAATTTAATTAACTTTCATTAATTTTATCTTCTCTCATTTAAGGGACCATTTGAAGCTATTCGGAAAGTTTTCTCAGCTGATGAACATAAGAAAATGTCATTCAATGATAAAAGCGATTTATTTTTTCACGATTACAATTTGATGCCACTTTTTGTTCAAGAAAATTATCTTCATGTGAAACCAAATTGTGAAAAGACGGAGATTCTTAATAGAGTAGCATTGGCGGCTGATTCACTGAGTATTGGTGATTTGGTTGAGAAAAAGATTCGTTCAAATATGGCTTGGTCTTTATTGCCTACACAAGCAGTGTTCAGTTCGGTTTTGCCAGGTGAATATATGGAAGGAACATTTGCATCGGCAGTGAACTTCCCTGCTTGGTTGGGTAAGACGTCAAGATCTAATAAAAGGAAAAGAATGGCCCAAGAAGTGCATGATCATACTCGAAGTGTGACATCAGGTTCTCGCTTATCTGTTCGTTTAGATTATGCTCAATTCTTAGTACAAGCGATTGTTAGACCATTGAAAGAAAAAGGCCTTGAAGGTGTTCATGAGTCATTGGAAGTTATTAAAGAATATCGATTGTTGCGAGAAGACATTGAATCATTATTGGAGCTCACTTCATGGCCAAAAATGAAGAATCCTTGGGATTCAATCGATAGTAAAGTAAAAGCTGCTTTGACACGAGCTTATAACAAAGAAGTTCAACCTTATGCGTATTCAGCGCAAACTGGTGTTAAGAAGAAGAATGTGAGAGCGACAGAAGCTGAAGGATTTGATTATGACGAAGATGCAGCTGCTCTAGAACAATCTGATGAAGAGGATGATTCATTGGAAAAAAATACTATGATTAAAATTAAGAAACCATCAATGGCAAAAGATACAAAATCGGGATCATCAAAACCATCAACTTCAGCAAAAGCAAGCAGTTCAAAATCAAAAGGTGGAAAAAGTAAAAAAGGAAACTAAATATTTTGGTTAAGTGTGTTTAAATGCTTTGTTTGATAATAAAACGTAGTTCGTTATAATTTTAATGTTTTCAACCAAATAACATTTAAGTTTGTTGAAACTACTGAAAATTTACAAATTATTTTTTAACGATTTTATTATTTTGAAATGAGCTTTTAATGTTTCATATTTCAGCATGTTCCATCAGTTTTCCAGTGTAATCCGTTCACGGATTGGGATTCTTTCTATACAAGTTTATTTAATTTTCTTACTTTGTAGAAGAAAATCACGTTGAAGATTCAGAAGTTAAAATTCCTTTTTATGCTTAAATACCTAAATGTTGCTAGATCACTATAGTTTTAAAATAAAATGAAAAATCTTCACTATGTTTCCAAAACCTCATCTGCCAGAAAAGATGAAATTTTAAGTAGATATTAATGCAATGAAAATATTGCAATTACCTACTTTCTGTAACTGAAAATTTACTTCCTTATTCACTTATTCTGCTCAACATAAATAGATAAACTTGTTAAATATTCTTGAATATTGCTGCCTTAATCACCATCAAACAACAATTTGACTTTTGATATTTTTTTCTAAAAAATCATCAAATCAATCGATTAAACATAACCGTGGAAGATCCTTCTTAGAATCAATAGCGAATAGAACCATCACACATCGTTAAATAAGAGAGAAAAATGTTAAAAAAGTTGCTTTCTTGAGAATCATTTGACACCATCAAAAATTTAATAAAATGTTTTTCTTAAAAAATTATAAATGATAAAATGATTAATGGCGTTAACATATATTCAGTTTTTAAACTTGAGCTACGTCAATATGTGTACGCATGGAAGTTCTCTTCATCTGAATCGATTTTATATCATTCTTCTGCAGGTGCACATTGTTAAAAGTTATTCGAAATCAATGAATCATAAACTTAAACTTGTCAATATTTTATTCGTTAAATTCAATGAAAATTCCTCGAAACTTTATCTCATATCATAAAATTTCAGAATAAAAAATAGTTTTACGCAAAAAAGCAAAACTAAAATCAATCTTTTAATTAAACAGGAAAGAAGTGGAAATGATGATTTATGTAAGAAGACGCTTCACAATCGTTATGACTGTTTGCGGTTGAAGTCACATTTATTGTCGTATCTCATTGTGCACATAGCCACGTGCCTCATGAAAGTCACGACTAAGAGTCTACATAAAAATGCGTTGCAACATTAATAATCGTTCGTAACAATACAGTGAAGTGATTGAAAAAGTGTCGGAAACATATTCGAGTGTATAACCCACGACTTTATTTGTCTTTTACTGAAGCATTCTTTCCGGAAGGAAGAGACACATTCGCATCATCATTACCTTACCATAACGACGATGCAACAGGATGTTTACAATATTTGCTATTAATGTTAAAAATATTTATAATAGCTAAATGATTTGAAAATGTAAATTTTCATTTCATCTGTTGAATCAATCTTTCCATATTTTATTAATCATTATAAATTAAAAGTTTAATAGAAACATAAAAAACAATACAGAAAAATCAGTAAAGTTATCCCTTTAACACCATACAGAAATTAAATTTATTTACGATTATTTCACCCTTGATCACATTATTTCACAAAGATACATTGCAGGAGGGTTGTAAGATTATTGGAAGTCAAGAATGAAAATCTAATGAACCTTCTTTCACCCTCCAAAATAAATAAACTTTGGTTTTGGTGCATCGCGTTAGGAGAAATTTAATTTTGTCATCATTCACTTAATGCGCTCCATAATCGACATGTAAACAATTTTATTTGGACGAAGAGGAAATCTGGAAAATCTGATCATCGTTATTAATGAATTTGTGAGGTATTTTGGCATCGAACAGAGGGGACATACGAAAAGTAATAAAAACAGATTACAAAATAGAAAAATACTGATCATTCCATGAGTTTTGCATAATCTTTGATGCTGACAAATTAATTTAAAGTATTGAAAGTTTACAGGATGAATTTTAAGTCGAATTAAATTAGAAAATTTGTAAACATCCAAATAATGAAGTAGATTAATTAATTTACGATTCACTTGTCACGAAGCATTTTTTGATTTTTTTTATAAACATCGATGACACGAAATGAGTTATTAAAATTATTTATCTGCTTTGATCTTGTTTTAACTAATACTTAAATTGAAATAATACAGCAGGAATTATGGAAAGCCTTTTCATCTTTGAAATTTTAAATCAGGAAGAGCTCACGTTTTCCGAATATCTTGTCATTGTCAAGGATTTCAAAGGAAGAAATTCTGAAAAAGTTGAATATTCATACATTCTGATTTACAAGTAAGAGAAAACACAATTTTTGGGCACACAAATTTTTGTTTCATATCAAAAACGTCATTCACAGATCATCATCAGAGAATTTTCATCAATCTCAAACATACGCAAAAGAAAATTGTGAAACTCTTACAGATTTTTTATTGAAAAAATCTTGTTATCTTTTCTTCCTTTCATTTCACTTAGGGTGGGTGAAATCAGGTATCTAGTAACAGTAACAAATAAATGAAGGATAAAACCCTCTTCATGCGCTTACAACATGAAATCTGAATCCATCTCATGATGATTTAAAGGCGAGAATGAATGTTATCGTCGTGAGAACGCCCATTCGATTGCCGTCAAGTGCAGTTCAATATGCGAAATCATTTATTCCCCTTCATCAACTTAAACTGACACATCAAGATTGTTATCTTTGTTTATGACATATTGTCTTGAAAGAAATGAAACGGAAAATTTTAGATGATAACATTTCTCTTGTTTTCATCTAGTTGTCTGTCAAACGGTTCTTTGGAATTCAACCCTCTTGTTACGTTGTATTGCGACTTTATCTACAGCAATCGCAGTCGACTTGTGGAAGTACCTCACTTTATGACCTTTATTTGTAAGCTTATCTTCAAAAGAGAAGGAACAATTAAAAATTCTTTAAACTTTAATCACAAGATGGCTAGCAAAAGTTATTCAAGTCAAGACTCTTTAATTACATCAAATTATTCGACAGTAATGATTGAAAAATGGACAAAATATATTGAAAAGACTCAAGAATTCTTCCAAGCTCATATTGAGGTCATCAAAAGCGTTAGCGGAATGTTAGGAAATTCTACAGCCTTTGAAGGAATCTCGAATGCTAATGGAACTTCCGGAACAACTTTCAACGTAATTAATAAAATTACATCTTCAGAAGAAGTCCCAATAAGCGAAAACAGTCAAGAGAATGTAAACTCATTTGTAAAACAGGAACCGATTTCGACTTCAACACCAAAACGTGAACGAAAACGTGTTCGTAACGATTCTTTTGTTACTGGCGAAGAAATTGTTGATGACCATGGTAAGACAAGCGCAAATTAAATTAAGTTTGATTTTTTTTCTTCTAACTTCGTATTAAAGTTTTGCCCACAGAATTATACTGCTGCGATTGTAAACGTAAGTTTATTAAAGGAAATGGAGAATTCACGCGTCATATTAGAGAAACTACTTGTCGACCTTACAAGTGCCATTGCGGGAAATTGTTTCGAAAAAGATCAACTATGAAATCTCACCAGATGATTCACACTGAGCCATCATTTAAATGTCATTGTGGAAGCATTTTCCGATGCACAAAATACTTGCGCAATCATCAACGTCGTATCCATGGCAACAACGCTATTGAATGTCAACAAAACAATGCTAAGCGACAATGTCTCGCAATGGATTCTGCAATCGATCTTCAAATCAAAGTCAAGGAAGAAGAAATAAAATTTGACACATCGGAATTGAATCCCATGGATTTACTCAGCTTGCACTTGCAGGAAGACTAAAATTTCCACAATTTATCATCAATTTCTTATTTTTCCATTTAATTTGGTTTTTGATCAATGCTTATTGGACATTGAAGTTATCATGAAAAACGTGAATTATTATTTGAAATGAAATTTATTTAGAAATATTCAAAATTTATTACTAGTTTATAGAACTTTTGCTTAACTCGATGATTTATAATTCCATCTAAGTTTTCATTTTTCATTTTAGTGAAAAATAAGTAAAACATTCTTTTTCCTTCTAAAATATTTTAGTACCTTTAATAATCAATTAAATTTGCACAACACATTATGTGACTGCATAATAGATAAGAGTTGTAAATATTTTTGAATTGTTTTATTAATTAAAGGTTGTAAACTTTAAGTTTTAAAAGGTTTCCAATTGAAGTTGGCAGTGAATATTGCAAAATTATTGTTATTATTAAATTACGAAATTATGTGCTACTTAAGCTAGTGGTTGCTAATAAATATTTCCTTATTATCACTTTCCTTAAAACAAATCTCTATCTTCGTATCTGTCATCAATACTGAAATGTTATTACCGGCAACATGGAAATAATTTAACAGAAGATTTTTTTAAAAAGTTTCCAATAAAAAGAGAGAATTTGGTTCTCTCATCCAATCTTTATCGCATCAGTCACAGCGAATGTGACTATCAATGTTTACTTAAAAACTAAAATCAGTCATGAAGTTTCACATTATAAATAAACAAAAAATACTTTCAAAAACTCCTTTAAAGATAATTATTTTAGAAAATTTTTGTCGTGAAAATGGAAAATTCTTTTACTCCATCGAAGTGACGCCAAAAGAAGAGACGAAAATTTATTTTACGAAACTCAAAATTCAGCCACTTTTTGTTGATATTACATGGATTAAGAATTTCAATTTGATAACCCCAATCGAAGATGCTCCAGCTTTAAAGCTCGCAAATGAAATAAAATCGACTCATGTTGTTAACAGCGTCACTTGTTATGGTTTAGAAGATCATCACATCGAGAAAGTTTTGAGAAGTGAATTGAAGCTTAAAAATTTCACGGTTTTACGGGGAGGTAAATGAATTACAAGAATATTGTACTCGATAAAATTACTTTAACTTTTTTGTTAGATTATGTTGATTCAGAGCAAAAGTATAAATTTGCTAATGAGCTAATTAAAGAGATCCGAAGAAGAACATCAAGCGAGGAGGTGACAATATTTTGTGCTGGTTATTCAAATACTCACAACGAAGCTGTCAATGCAGATGAAGATCTTCAGAATCTCAAAAGAAAAGTTGAATCTGGCGTTGATGCCATCTTAACTTTAAATAAAAGAGAGGAACGAGAGAGATTAGAAGCAAAAAATTCATTCGCATATTAAATTCAAAGTTTTTTTATGGAATAAAGTGTAAATATTCTGCAAGTTGTCAGCAACATATCCCTTAGCAAATTTACCTTGAGAATTAATTGAATTTCACTCATAAAATTTCAAGTTAAGTATCAAAAATTAAATTTTAAATTTTGAGTCGAGCCGTGTATTCACGTGTTTTCTTTCTTCCTTTGTTATTCAACACGCTATTGTTATAACGCCGATCTTTGTTCTCATCGAATGGGAGATCTGCCTGAAAACGAAGAGCGGGTTTCTAACACACACAAGATTAATTATCTGCTAAGAAGTAAACGCCCAGCATCTGGAAGTCCAGAAGATCCTTCAAAGCCTGCAACGACATCAAATAATAATCCCAGACACAAGAAGAAACAAAAACAACAAAAACAACAAACCAATATGGATGCAAAAAAATTCGATGATTTCATCAAAAGAATGGATGCTTTTTCTCAGGCTACTTCATTCCAATTAAACGGTATCACTGGCAAAATCGACTCCTTAGATTCGAAATTGGAAAAGCTGCAAAAGAAAACTGACATACTCGAAGAAAAACAGGATCAAGCTGCCAAGAATATTGATTGGTTATATAATGAAATGTCATCTGTTCAGATTGAATTAAATCAGGTAAGACAAGCAACATTGGCCAATGATTTTGTTATCAATGGCATTCCATCGGAACTTATGCCACAACTTCCGCAAGATGCTTTAATTCTTACTGCTGCAGCTGTTGGTTTGGTTATTGAATCTAAAGATATAAAACAAATATCTGAAAGAAAGCATAAGCAATCGAAAACATCAAGAGTAATGGTATCGCTTCACAATGGCCTGTTAAAGCAAAAGCTGATGGAAAAAGTTAAAAGCCAAAATCCACTTTTGGTTAAAGATGTCTTCGTGAATGTTCCTGAAAACTCACCGAATATCGGAAAACAAATAAAAATATTCAATCAGCTCACGCCAACTAATCGAAGAATATTGGTGGCAGCTCAACGAGTGAACAATGGGAGCTACAAATACATATGGGAGAAAACTGGACGTATTTTAATCAAAAAAGATGAAAACGCTAGAGTCATTGAAATACGTTCCACACAACAATTAATGAACATTTTTGGGCCGAACGTTTTCGACATTTTCAATAATAATGTCAACAATTGAATTTGAAATACTAGCTAAGTATAACTTACAGTAGCATAAAGGAGATACGTGAGTACAATTTATTTTCTTTTTATCAGTAAATCTATATCAAAAGCTTACGTAAGTTACATCGAAAATCTCATGTTATATAAACTCTTCTGCTGCTGACTTTTTGCTTGCAGAATGTTAAAATCAAATCTTAAATTTTCATTTACAAATCTCATTGTTTTTCATTTTAATTCAAAATTTTTATTTCCCAATCTTTTTTAAGTCAAGAATGAATTTAGATATAAGATATGCAAGCTCTTTTCCCACTTCGACATTGGATGAAAATCATTTCTTTAACATAATTTTTTTAAACATAAGAAGCCTTCGCGTTAAACTCAACGACCTCACTGACTATGTATCACTAAACAAAAATACTTTCCATGTAATCATTCTTAATGAAACTCGTCTCAATAAATTTGAAAAGAATCTATTTAACTTACCTGGCTATGTGGCTCATCACTCGACGAGAGAAAAAGAAGGTGGTGGAGTTTCAATCTATGTACTTAAAGATTTTTCTCAGACAAATGAACTAGTAAATTTTGAATTTGAGAACAGTAATTTTCTTCTTCTGAACCTTGTTAATTATAATATTAATATTGCTGGTATTTATAAACCGCCAAACGCGAATCCAAATAACTTCCTTACCAAACTAGATTCAACATTGGAAAAATACAATAATCTTTTCTGTTGCGGTGACTTCAATTTAAATATTTTTTCCCATGATAACAAAGTCCTTAGGTATCAAAATATAATTGAAACAAACGGTTTTAAACTCTTAAACTCACACTCGCCTGATATGTTCACGAGAAGAGATGACCGCTTTGGAACTTCTACTTGTATTGATCACATTTTCACTGATACAATTTCATCGTACAATTTTAAATTCTCATTAGATAATATTTTGGAAGTTGATCACCGTGCTTTAATGCTTGAAGTATTTTCCAAGGATTCAAATACTCTCCGTAAAAAACCTAAATTTTTAACGTACACAAAAGTCGAACATAATAAAATTCTGGAATCAAAAACTCTACGCAATGCACCCATCAACTCAACCTACGATTTCTTAAATTATTTTACAAAAACTATTGAAGATCACACAGTTAGCAGATCAATTAAGGAAAGGTTTAGAAAGTCATTTATGAATTCTGAGATTCACAATTATATGTCAATCAGAGACAATTACTTCAAATTGTTAAAGAAATATCCAAAAAATCGTAAAGTTCGAGAAAATTATGTAAAATATCGGAATTTAGTAACGTCATTGCTCAGAAAAAGCAAACGGTTAAAGAATGATACTTTTTTCGCAAACAATATTCATGATTCTAGGAAAACTTGGAAACATTTAAACTGTCTTTTAACCAACAGTGATGCGAAGAGAAATGATCAAGCTATTATTAGACTGAAAGTTAATGATTCACTAATCACGAATCAAATTCTGGTTGCGGAAGAGTTTAATAAGTTCTTTGTCAATGTTGCTACAAATATAAAACAAGATATCCTGAGTAATATTTCTTACAACAATCAGATTCAATTCCAACACTCTTATGATATAAAGTACTCATGTATTTTTGAACTTACCACTGAAACTGAGATTTTAAATATTATTTCGAATCTGAAATCGTCGTCAGCGTGTGACATCTACGGAATATCAAACAATATTCTTAAACTTCATAAAAACGAGGTTGCTAAGTCTCTCTCTATAATTATTAATGATAATATCACTGAAGGAAATTTTCCTTTATCTCTTAAAAAAGCTATCGTGAAACCTTTATTTAAAGAGAAAGATAGGGAATCAGCTTCAAATTACCGACCAATAGCAATTTTACCGATAATTTCTAAAGTCTTTGAATCAGTAATTCTATCACGACTGTTAACACATTTAGACAATAATAAAATTATACATGATAATCAATTTGGTTTCGTTGCTAAGTCAAATACTGAAACGGCAGCACTTCATTTAATGAGCAACATTTACAATAAAATTGAACAAAAAAAGCTTGTTGCTTGCCTCTTCATAGATTTGAAAAAAGCTTTTGACTGTGTTGATCACTCCACTCTTCTCAATCAATTAAATTTACTCAAGTTGCCAAGAAATGTTATGAATCTTATGATTTCTTACTTTGAAAACCGCCAACAATGTGTAGCTATTAATAATTGTAAAAGTGAATATCTAAAAATCACTTCGGGAGTTTTCCAAGGATCAATTTTGGGTCCAATTTTATTTGCATTTTATATCAACAGTGCTTTCAATCTAAGGTTGAAAGGACAAATGCAACTGTATGCTGATGATATAGCAATTTCGTATGGCGAACTTAATCCAAAAGACCTAAGAGATTCAATCGTCGATGATTTAGTAACCCTTAAATGTTTCTTCAACAAACTGAGCTTAGATATTAATTTTACCAAAACCAGCTACTTACAATTTCAGGGAAGAGCAAGATTTGAATATTTTACGGAAAAATCACTGAATATCAAAGTGTTCAATAATAAGATTGAAAGAGTCGAAACTTACAAATATTTAGGTCTTTTAATTGACGAGTCATTAACTTTTCAAAAACATATCGAGCAAATAAAAAATAAAGTTACTCCTATGATCTATGCTATTAGAAGAATAAGAAAAGTGATAGGAATAAAAACTGCTTATCAATTATATTTTGCGTACATTTATTCGCATCTAATATTTATGAATCCGTTGTGGAGTGTTGCGGCGACAACTACACAAAATTTTCTCTTCGTAGCCCAGAAAAAAGTTCTTCGTTAAATTTATTCAAATGAAAAGCAGACTATCACCTTCTTTAGAACTTTTTTCTGAAAACATTTTGCCACTTCCGGTTATGAATGATTACCACTTACTTATAATAGCTTTCAAAATTAGAAACAATCTCTTAAAGAATAATATTGAACTAAAATACATCAACGAGATACATAGTCATGGAACTAGGCGAGTTGGAAATTTTCACGTAGTCAAGTACGAAACCCGTTATGGTCTGGCTGACTTTNTGCCACTTCCAGTTATGAATGATTACCACTTACTTATAATAGCTTTCAAAATTAGAAACAATCTCTTAAAGAATAATATCGAACAAGTTGGAATTTATATTCCTGTATTCTTAATCGCTTTAGTGTACAGTCGTGCACTCCCTACTCTGATGATGATGATGAACTTTTCAAAAACATATCGAGCAAATCAAAAATAAAATAATATTTTAATACATCAACGAGATACATAGTCATGGAACTAGGCGAGTTGGAAATTTTCACGTAGTCAAGTACGAAACCCGTTATGGTCTGGCTGACTTTTATAGACGTGGTTTAATTAAATTCAATGAAATGCCTGAATCAATAAAGAAAATAAATTCCCTAAATCTTTTTAAGAAACGCCTAAGAGAATATCTATTTGAAGCTTTCGTGTCAGAAATCATGTAAGAGCAGTTGCTCTGTTTAAGGCTGGTGTTCTCCAAAAAAATTTTTCTGGTGCTCTCACAACTAATATAATGACACCTGTTCTGGTGCCACTGGGCATGTTCTTGCCCGAATTTTCGAATTTTCTTTTTTTTTATTCTCTTTTTAGGTTTAATACTGATGGAAGATGAGCCTGCATAGAAAGATGTATGAGCAGCTTACTCGATGATGATCCATTAATACTGAATTTAAATTTTTTTGAAATGTACATACTTGAATTTTTTTTTACCAAAGCTTGAAAAGATTGGGTTTTTTGCGCAGATTTTATTGAATGTAGTTTAATAAAGTCTGCTTTTTATCCCAACATAATTATCTCAAAAAAAAGACAAATGAGAAATAACTTGAAATGTTGAAAAATAACTATAAAATCCTTTAAGTTAAATTAATTTTTNATCAATGTTTACTTAAAAGCTAAAATCAGTCATGAAGTTTCACATTATAAATAAACAAAAAATATTTTCAAAAACTCCTTTAAAGAAAATTATTTTAGAAAATTTTTGTCGTGAAAATGGAAAATTCTTTTACTCCATCGAAGTGACGCCAAAAGAAGAGACGAAAATTGATTTTACGAAACTCAAAATTCAGCCACTTTTTGTTGATATTACATGGATTAAGAATTTCAATTTGATAACCCCAATCGAAGATGCTCCAGCTTTAAAGCTCGCAAATGAAATAAAATCGACTCATGTTGTTAACAGCGTCACTTGTTATGGTTTAGAAGATCATCACATCGAGAAAGTTTTGAGAAGTGAATTGAAGCTTAAAAATTTCACGGTTTTACGTGGAGGTAAATGAATTACAAGAATATTGTACTCGATAAAATTACTTTAACTTTTTTGTTAGATTATGTTGATTCAGAGCAAAAGTATAAATTTGCTAATGAGTTAATTAAAGAGATCCGAAGAAGAACATCAAGCGAGGAGGTGACAATATTTTGTGCTGGTTATCCAAATACTCACAACGAAGCTGTCAATGCAGATGAAGATCTTCAGAATCTCAAAAGAAAAGTTGAATCTGGCGTTGATGCCATCTTAACTCAAGTCGTTTTCTCATCTTCGAAGTTTGTTGATTTTATTAAAAATTGCAGAAGAGTTGGAATATCACAGGACATTCCAATTATTCCAGGTTTGTATATTCCTTTCAACTTCAATGAGCTCAACTTGATGTTGAACATAGCAAAAGTTAAATTAGATCATGGAATTTATCAAAGTTTTGAACAGTTAAAAGACAACAACGAGGAATTTAAAACATTTAGTTTGAATTTCATGATCAAAGTTATTTCTGAAATTCAAGAAACATCACCAGAATTTATTCGTGGATTTCATTTCTTCACGTTGAACAACTTCGAGATGGTAGAAAAGCTAATTGAAATTGTTAATTTTTCAGAAATGTAAACCTGTAATTTCTCAAATTTAATTAAAGTGAAGAATCAAAGAATGACTTGTGAAATTATCTGAAAGTGCCAAATTTGCACCACAGAAACTTTTTTCTTTCTTGCTGCCAAAAAACTTTAATTTTATTCACTTAAATTTATAAAATAAAATAAAATTCATTCGCACTTTTCGCATAAATTATCAAATTGAATTTTAATTTCTTTTCACCATGAAACCTGTTGAAGATCCCCAAAGACGGAGATGACATAAAAAGAAATCCTTAAAAGCGACAGAGAAACTATTCTCTCTTATTTGAAACAGTTTTTATTTTCTGTCTTGATCTTCTTCTTCAACAACAAAAACACAAAAGCGCATCAAAAGACATTTCACGTCACAATAAATTAAAGGAAATTATGAGCATGAAATAAATGGCTAAGGAAGATGACGAAGAGAGAAATGGCTAACAATTTCTCAAGCCTTGATGCACATAAACAATCCTTTTGTTGCATCGAAGTGCCTTTATCTTCTTGAACGGATCAAAAACGTCACAAAGAAAGAAGAAGATTCATATCACCTGTTTTGATATCCATAAACAAATTAAATATTACGCTCTTTTATACAGAAAACTCTTTCACTCGATTAGGCATTAATAACTTTTCGTCCTTTATCATTCTTAGGGAGAGAAAAAGGATGACAAAAGCGATTGTTTTCTAAAGAAATTTGAAAGGATAATTTCTTAAGGTCAAAAGATATTCAGAGGAATTTAATGGAGTAATCAATTATGGAAATACGAATGTTTCGGTTGATGCTTTGAAATGTTCTACAATAAAACTGGGCAAGAACTAAATTCGTTAGTTTTGTTTCGTGTTACTTAACAAAAATTCTGTGTTTAGTTAAAGTTGCTATAACATTATTTACATAGCACATCGAACCTTTTTAAATATTACATCCCTCTGTAAAAATTCTCCACTTTCATTATCACACTTTTGTGTTTTTTTTGTTCGTTTTAATTAAGACTTTTATTACTTTTTATGGCTTTTGTTTTAATCCAAGGATACAACACAAGAACAACGCACCAATGAATGTTTGATTCTGTTCTTTCACTGAAACATTTTGAAATTAATGAAAATTTGCGTGTGAGATGAATTCTTTCTTCTTAATGAAAGTGAAAAGAAATTTATTGCGCAACAACAAAGTCAGAGAAAAAAAGGCTGAATTGAATTTTCATTAAAAAGGTCTTTTCGATGGTGAGGGAGAAAGGTTTAGAAAGAATCAGAAAGTTATTTTCATTGTTTAAAGCTTCATTGTACTTTTTTTAAATATGAAAACGACTTCTCGAACCATTACAACCTGACATTTTGTTAATTTTCATTGGCAACAGCGAGGCAATAGCACTGAAAAGCAGAAGAATGATAATGAAATCGATGCGAGAAAATGTGAGCCAAATGAAGATTTAAATTAATTTAGAGACGAGAAAAATCAGCGTGAAGTCGCTTCGATGTTTTTGCACAAACACTTTATGGCTTCGAAATTAATTTAAATCAGATTATTGACAACGAACTAGCAGCTCGCGCACCCTGTCCTGATGTTAACATTAAAGGTTCAATTTAGGGCGAGCGAGGTAAAGGTTGTTTACATTTCATGCTATCTATTGGCAAGATCTTTCATCTCGTTTGCTTCCTCATGACATTGTTTTATGGAGTCATGCTTAGATATGTCAATTATTCATCGACATTGAACATCAATCTCATTGGTGATATCAACGCTTTCAAGTTGCATTTTCTTCGTTTTCTGTTTGTTTGATGTTTTCAAATGATTGCAGATTTAAACAACATGTGAGTCATGATGTGAGAGCACACAATTTGTCTATTATAATTATAAAAAATCGAGTGATAGAAATCAACAAGGTTTTAAGTTTCGTGTATGTTTTAATACAAAATTACTGCAAAAAAGAACATAACAGATTTCTAAAATTATTTCCTAAACATAAATTTCATTGAAATCGTAAATATGAATGCAGGAAAATCATACAAACATGAATTGTTAATTACAAAGTCGATGCATTAAAAATTATTATTCAAAGAGTTTGACAAAAAATACTCTCGATACATCCACTTGTTGCCAAATTCTTATTTTAATCAATTCAGTTTTTTGCTTATAATTGTTTTTGCTTATAAGAATGAAAATGATGTTTGAAGCTTCAAGATGTTGAAGTTTGTAAATAAAATGGACATCGATCATTTTATTTCTTTCTGACAGACGCATAATTTATCATCGACCAAGAGAAATTATTTATTCAATTATCATATTTAACTAATATGTTCAAATCACTTAAGCAACCATTGTATAAATCTTTAGGAATGAACGTCCAACAAGCTCCATCAATCCAACGCCGTCACACGCCTGATGTCTTCTCAACTCCTTAAAATGAAAAGCGTTTTGAACACATTTGTTGGCTGCCACAAAAGCATAATTTCATTTGTGATTTATCTTGAAATATCAATCTCGCGAGACTAGCTGTTGTTACTTTCATGAAACAAATTTTCATATAACAACAACAACGTTACAAATTGTTTATTAATAAAAAGAAATGCCTTCATATCTAGCTTTCGATCGCCATTAAACGAGACGAGAAAGAAAAGACTCTCTAGAAAATCATATAAATCAAATCGTGTTTAAATAATTTGACTGGTGCTGGTTGTTCACTCGCTTTGTTAGACGTTTAGTTGAGTCAGTGCGATTGCTTAACATTGACTTGATCACTTCAAATTGAATTACTTTTTACATATTATTTATGTTGTAATATTTGCAGATCGTTTCTAAATTAAATCATTGAATGAAAAATTATATAAAAAGCAGAATATTTGAGAATGATACAAAAAGCTTTCCAAAGTTGCGATGGCTGATTATCTGATTCCAATTCTGATGTGGCGCCAATGAATCAAAAAATATCATATCAATCTTTCTGTTTATTTTCCAGGAAAAAAATTATTTCAAACACTCAATAAAAACTGTTTTGAAGAATAGTTTTAAATTAAATTATAGAATATTTTATTCGCTTTTTATTGTAAAGTTCATCGCTTCACTGGAGACATCGCATATGTTTGAAACGTAAACATTTTGTGCAACTTCACATGAGACATGAAATCAGATTAAAGCAGATAGGAAGCAATTTTAACAAATTTATAAACTTTTATAAAAATATCGATCTGTTTTTTATGAGCGCCAAAATGTTTATGTGAATTTTTGTGTTTTAAAATTTCTTTCTTTTTGTTGTTAGACATCACAATATGTTGAGTAAAGAAATAAAAAAATGTCGAATAATAATAAAATCCATAATAAAGGAGAATTCCAGTTCCTTGTAAATCACAAAACGAGAAACATAAAGGAGAAAAAAAAAACGTCTCAATAAAAGTAATGAGCCTCATATTTCAGTGGAATGTTTGATTCGCCAATTGCGATAAGTTATTGGAAGATCGTGTGAGATATTCGAATAAATATATCGTGCGCTTTCGAAATTGAGAGAAAAAAATTATTTTTATATTCTTTCTTCATTTTTCTTCCTGCAACACCGTTTTGAACGCATACATTTCGCCGTGGATAATTAAATTTAATTGAAAATATGTCAATATATTTATAATGGTGTGAATAAGAAATATTTTTCGATTTATAGTCGCATGAACTGAAAGATTTTCTACTTAATCTATTAAATGTTGCTATTTTGTACGTTTTATGTTGACTAAATATTTATCACGACGAGAAAATAAAACTGAAATATTTCATTCAAACCTGTTGAATTATAGGAAATATTTCACCCACAAATCTTATCAGTAACTTTTGCTTGCTTGTTTTTATTGCAATCACAATTCATTCAGTAAAGTTTTAATTTCACAATTCATACAAATGGATCTGGAAAATCGTTTTTCTAAAGCGAGTGATGGTGTTTCTTCACGAAAGCCTCTGTCACTTGCAGCTAGTAGCTATGGGACATTCAACAGCTCAACTTGTTCTCCTAAATCAATCAATTCAATTTCAAAGTTTGATCATTTAAGGAATGAAACTTTCATCAATACAAAATCTCAACAATTATTCAGTTCAAATAATGAACAAAGAAAGAATTTGTGTTTGATTATGTGACTTAGCTAAGCTTGTATGAATCAATTCAATCATTTATTTTGATTAATTAATTCACATTAGAGATAAGATTAGTGGCAATAAGATTGAATTAGTTTAAAAGGTTGACAAAATTTCAATTTTTATTTAACTATAATTAAAGTTTATGTAAGATTATGTTTAGCAGATGATTTAATTAATGCTTTGTTTATTTTGCCTTCAAGGAAAATCACTCTTATAAATATGTTAAGATCAAAAGAGAAGGTTATAAGTCAACAAACCTTGTTTACATAACTTCATCTCTGTAAACAAGTAAAAGTGTTTTTATTGACTCTGTGATGGATTAAAAATAAAAAGTTTATTAATGAAAATTACATAGACAAACTTTGCAAGTGCACTCGTGTTTCATTTCCAAACTGCGCTAAGTATTTAAGTAAGGAAATTATCATTGCTTCTAGAAGTGTGAGAATTGATACTTGATAATGTATATCAACATCGTAGTTTTCAAATTTGTTTCGTTTCATAACTCAGGAAAATGTTTAACTCTCACCACACTCTGTCAGATCGAATAAACGTTTTACTTTAATTTGCCATATCGTTTGCATGAGAAATTGCTAATTGCATTGAGTAAATATTTCATTTGAGATGTGAAAATTATTTTTCTACGATTGTAAATTTCTCTTTTCTTTCAATTTAATTTAATTTTTGAAATTTCCGCTTTGGCCTTCGCCGATCTTTGCTAAACCTGTTAAACGTAGGCTGACAAATGAGATAAATTTTTCATTTAGACTGAGAATCTGATAAAGATGTGTACATGATTCCTATGGCTAATCAACAACCTCGCTGATCCATTGAAAAGAGCCATAACTCTTGAAAAAATATCAATTAATCAACACATTACGTGAAAAACTTTACATCACAAGAAAAATTGAAGAAAACTTCAAGTGGAATATAAATTCGTTAATTATGTATGTTAGATAAAAAATATTACAGCTCGAAGAAGTTTAAATGTAACACATTTTTATCGCACATCATAAATTAAAGCGTAAGCGATTACGATTCCCTTCAGTCCGATTTTAATTATTTCACAATTTCTTTTCGCGCCTTTCTATTCGGCGATGAAACTTCTCAATTAATTTTCGTTGTTGGACTTCCGTTTCGCGGTGTGGTTGTTTACGTCTTCTTCCTTTAATCAGAATTTCTCACTTTATTAAGTGAATCATTTGAGAAATATTTGAACAAGGAAAAATATTTATTTGAATAAAAATTATGTAGGTATGTAAAGCAGAAAGTATTTTTGCGATGAACGCTTTAAATTCCTGGAATAAACGTATTGCACAAGTCTGGCAAATATCTATCTGTTCCGAGTTATCAAGTTCAGCACTCACGACCTAAGCATCTGATCAGAAAAGAAAATACGGCAAAAATATCTTGAAAATAAAATTGTTTGAGTTTATTGATGATTTTATGCTTAAGATAAGACGCTTAGCCTGCATAAATTTATGAACATTGAATGGGATAAATTTCATGCTTAATAAATGGAGAAACATTTTTCCTTCTTCAAGATATTTGTTTTCAAATAGTTTTCGGAAATGGCAGTCTTCTGTTTGCGTCATCAGTTTTTACTTTGCGGAAAAGATTTTTTATTATTTTGAAACGAATTGGAGTTTATCAGTTTCTTCAATCAGCTGATCTTTGTTATTCGTAATTATATTCGACTATGATTTCTATACTGTGAATGAAACTAAATTCCAAAGAATACTTTGTCCCAAAACTTCTCAACAATTATGAATAAACTTTGTTAGTCGAATAAGTGCAATAAATCATTCTTCCCCAAAGCAAGGCCGAAGGAAAGAATTTTAGCAAAAAGAATTAATTTCATCGCGTCGCCATTTCCACGTACAAAATAAAATCAACATTTTATGCTTTATTTTTTCAATTAAAACAAACCCAAGTTTCCCCTTTTTTTATGATGGAGAGTGGAAAGAAACAGAAGAAATATTATTAATGAAGGTTTATCACGAATCATGAAATTAATTCAACGAAAAATATTAGAATTTGCTATGGCGAAGTTCCACAAAAATCTGTTCCAACATATTTTTCAGCTTTTCTTCTTCACTCTGAATTGTTACACACAACAACAAAAAAGTTAGATGAAAAATGTTTAATTTTCGTAGCTCCACGAAGCAAAGAAAAAAAGTTTCATTAAAAGCAAAAAATTTCCACAAATTAACTTTCATTCCCACAGACTCGCTATCGGTTTCAGCAGTACGGAACAATAGCAATTAGTTTTTAAATTTATTCAGAAAAAAAGTTTAATTTAGCATGGAACCAAAAATGAACTGTAGAACAACAATGGAACTGCTCGGTTTTATCAATTAATTACTTAAAATTAAATGAATAAACTTTATATGAGCGAATCGAGATCGTGCCAAGAATATTTAATTTAATTTTTATTTAATGTTGAAGCATATCAAATGTCAACACTCTTTTCAAATTCTACAAATTGAAGGAGTGGAAAATTTCATTTACGGAGGCCCCACCCTAGGGTGACG